ATGACTCACAGATGTAACAGAGACAGACAAAAAGGCGGAGAAAAGGTAAGATGAGTACTGTGTAAGGGGTCGAATATGGCATACAGTGGGGTCATGGTAGTTTGAAGTAAGAAGTCAACTGCCAGTTAATAGACGTTTTGCCGTATGAGTATACGTTGCCCCGAGTGCACCACGTGCAGGTAAGTCTATCGCACACCTCTTGTTGATTAATATAATTTTAACTACTGTAGTCATGAAGTGACTACTATTTCTTGAATAACTGAGAGGTCTCGCTGATCTCTAAAGCAGCAGAGACCCGCCTATGTGTCCTTGGATCTGCCATGAGGACGCAGAATTCTCCGCAAATTTCACATTGTCAATTTTCTTACCTCATTATCACGATTTTATTGTCATAAATATTACACCTATTATTACACCTATATTTATCGACTCTTTACTATGGCTAAAATGCAACTACTAAACAGTTGTTTGAGAAGTACAAACTCCGTAATATGCTAAACTTACAAATTTTCTGTGTGAAATCTGTCACAGTTCTTTCTGTTAAATACGATGAACTTAAGATTGATTCACCTGACAGTACATGTAGTGAGGGGTTAAACTGATTTCTACCTCCCTAAAATCTGATAAATAATCGATATTTTAATCTTTCCAGCTGTCAAATACTTGCCATGTTACAGCGCTTTGATAATTAAAGCCAATGATTTATCCTTAATTGCCAAAGAGCACAATTAAGCATTATTAGTATCATCTGAGGGGCGCAAAATGACAGTACAGGATACTAAGTAGTGAAGTAGATGAGAGGTAGAGAGGACATTCTCAGTAAAGTCATGTGGGACAGTGGACTTTTGATGACGCTGTCCCAAACCAATGGAACATTTAATAAAGTTTAACCCAAATCCGAGAGGATTTGGGTTATTTCTCAGAATGAAGTGATGAGCACGGCGTGTGGAAAAATTCTTACAACTGCATGCACTATGGCAGTGTTATTTGTCTTCAGTTCACGTATTGATCAAGTGTTTAACTCAATGTTTACCGCTAACCAAGTCTATGCTGTAACTGATATTGGGGTACGTAGTCACTTTTGGCATGAACTAGGCTTTCTCCTTGGCAATAATATATTTGCTAAATCTATGAAATCTCATTTTGGATTGAAGTTTTGTGGCCCTACGTTCCTTGCGTTTTCTCCTAGCTACCAACTAACTCGAACACAAAACACTGATCTTCTATTTCAACAAGAAACAGCTAACTCTGTCAGTCGTAACTAATTAGACTAAATCCATTGAGAATGACATTCCCGTCAATCACTCTGTCACAAATGGTTCGGGTGTAAGCTGGGCCAACAATATGACTACCTAATATGGAAGAACATGCCTACATGGGATTGAAGCATGGAATGCTGGCCTAAAGACAGATCGTGTTGGAAACACCCAAGTCATGTCAGATTCCATTGGGTGTGACGTCTACGCTCCCTCCTGTCTCATTTACCACTCAAACGTTAGTTGCAATTGATACGAACTTAAAAGCATCGGACACATACCGGGATTATGTGGGATTCGAAGAATATGAAGAAATAATTTTGGCTTTTGCGGCAGAGCAAATTCATTCTCTATTACTGGTAAGAACCCTTCTTTCTGCTAATGAACTCTCAAATATCTTGCTATAAATTGATCGAACCCATCTCCCCTTGCTAATTCGTGGACCTTTTACTTTCTTAAGTTGCATGATTGTCATTGGTGCACCTCTGCGTTTGCTCTAGTTGAAGCAGTCTTCTGAGAGACACAACCGATTCGAATTAATTAGTAATTATAAGACATTACGTTTTGGTTAAAATTTCTCTCTTGAAATATGCTCATCTTATCTTTTGATTTGGCCTGATAATGCTGACCAAAATTTAATTTTATATCGTTTGCTATATCAAATACCGGCGTCATTCATTGAATACTGCAAGTGAACCATCCCAGTAGACAGAAAAGAAGACAAAACTTGGAAGTTAGAAAAAGTTTATTTAATTTAAAGTGAAGTTGAAAGTTGGGTCAGGACATCTGGTGAAAATGAAGATGTAGATTCTGTCTTCAAGGCCATATTAAATGGGAATCTTCAAATTCGTCGTCTTCTTCATAGTTTCATCTTCTTCATTTCCTTCAAAGTCGTCTTCATCTTCATCGTCATCTTCAGAGTCGTCGTCTTCTTCTAAGTCATCGTCTTCTTCATCGTCATCGTCATCTTCATCTTCATAGTCATCTTCATAGTCATATTCATCTTCATAGTCATCGTCTTCTTCTAAGTCATCGTCTTCTTCATCGTCATCGTCATCTTCAGAGTCGTCGTCTTCTTCTAAGTTATCGTCTTCTCCAAAGTCGTCTTCATCTTGGTTTTCATAGTCTTCTTCTCTGTCTATGTTTCCTTTGTATTCATTGACGTCATCGTGCTTTTCAAAATTGGAATGATCCAAGTAAGAGTCAGTAATTACATTCCGTGCCCTCGCGAGAAAACAGAAGAGAAGAATGCTAAAACAAAGGTGATAGCACTTCATTGTGGATAATATCTTCAAGCTCTCAATTGCCCCCCATAATATTTATAGTCCCCACATGGAGTTCATTGGTACGTCACAGCCCACTGGACCAGCAAATTATCACATCCGACCTGATTTCTTCATGGAAGAAAGCATTTCTGATAAAACGTACTTTTATAAAGTGCATAGAAAATGAAGTAGAAATTACCTTTTCATGAAACTGGAATGAAAAAGGTGCATATTTTGCCAACAGTGATTAAGTACTCTCGTTACATTAAACCCAAACCGAATCGCTTCCAATTGCTCATCCGAATTTGAACAGATAGGAAAGGCCCATATTCAACTCCGTTGTCATTGCTTTCAGTCAACTCTTCGAGAGGTAAGGTTAGTGCATCATTAAGATGTAGCAGAAACAATACTTACGGTTTAACTTCAATAATACTGATTCAACCTTCGAAGTTGCCATTCAATTCACTTCTTCAGAGTACAAGACCAGCATCACATAACCTATGTGGTAGGAAAATTAAATACTTCAGGAACTGCAATTGTGGCGAGTCATTTCTCTCGCACTCTCTACCCCTCTCTCTGGGTATTCGTCAGTTCGCATCAAGTGTGTGACCTCCGCCCAAGGCGCTTAGCATATCAATCGCTAAGGCCTAACAATATAACTAAATTTTCAGACTTAACTGTGACCATTTGAGGGGTGAGGTGGGGTGCGCGTGGTTGGGTGGGTGGGGAGGGCAGAGATTGAATATGTTGAGAGATTATGCTGACTCGGTGTTATGCATTCAATGAATATTACATGTATGTTCATTAGTCAGGAAGCAATGACACTTCAATGAAGCATTTTAATTTGGCTGGTACCAACAATTGTACAATAAGTTGATTGATTTGGCATTAATGTCAACTATCCTTTAAACTGATCTTTATTGCATACCAATAAACATTAACCATCATATAATATTAAAACTTCATGTTTCAATAGGTGGGGTGCACAATTTCCGAATGACTGAAGCAAAGAGCGCATGCACTTTCAAATTACGAGCACATGAAACTTAACATTCGTCATTCCAATCACCCTACGAGATCACGAGTATAGCGACCTCTCGATCTGGCAAAAACCATAACCGTTAGGTGGTTATCATACCCCAAAAGTGTAAATAATGATTAATTTCTCTTCATTCAGTTGTTTCAAAATACTTGGCCCTACTCCCACTCGGAAAGGTTGGCTGACCTGTGCGTGTGAGAGATATTGAAGAGGTGAAGGTGAGAAATACTGCCAGGTCAAAAGGAGTTCAAAAGACTTGGAAGAATCCCACTTAGACTCTGCTTTTCAACTGACCCATTACATGGTCAGTACTACTTTCCAACCTGGAAATTTTCTCGCATGTGTTAGTGATATTACTAGCAGTGACAATTGTGATCGATGACAATTCTTGCCATCAAGAATACCTTCTAACATTGATGTTATGCGTCAATTGCAAACGCTAATCCCACTGTGTCTGAAGAATGCCCTGAATTCTCACTCTAAGAATTCAATGAATGCAGATGAGTTGTAAGAGTTAACAATGTTTGCTGCAATGTAAGAGAGTGAAGTGAATATCTACTCAACTGGGCATCAACAAGTTCTGATATCCAAGGCTAATGATCGGGAATTAATAAATTTAGGTTGGAATTGTCATCAATCGGATGTTAGCATTCATTTCCATACATTCATGTCCATTCCAAAACCATGTGGGCTGTACTCTTAATTTTCAGTTTCAATAAAAGTTCATTATGCAATTGACCTGAAGGGAAACGAGAAGACTAAGTCTCTAGTTGAGCGATAGTAGGTGCTTATATTGCTCGCATAACAAAAAAGTAGTATCTTGTTTAATCAGGGTAAATGAAAAGACCTGCAGATGGAAACCCATTGAGGGAGAAAGCTTAGTCATCACTTTCTGAAAATGCCTCATTTGAGCAAGCTAGTTTGTCCATGTCTTTAGTACTTTGATGTCGTATCTACGATATAAATATTACTTAATAGTCACTCATTTAGCTGACTGTGGATGACATCTCTCTTTTCAAGAAAACATTTTGTTCTCTCAGCCTCCCTCTCCCTCTGTCTCCCCCCCCCCCCCCGATTCTCAAATTTCGTACTCAAAATAGTTCTGCCTTTTCTCCTCACGCACTTCATGGGTTTCTGAATTTGGGAAATGGTTCAAATCTTCCAACCGTATTTGCATACACTGCATGTATTACTAAATTCATTCCCTGATTGGATGAGCTCCAAAGAATGGTGATTGGTTGATTTTTGTTCTGCTCATGAAAGAAATAATTGTGAGAATCAATCAAATACTTCTATTTTGAGGTATCATTTGAATTTAAGATATTGCACAATTTAAAGTTCTCTGAAAACTTTTAAGTAAAGTGAATTCGAGACGGTGCATTTTCTTTGCAACGTTAAAATCTCCACTTTAATATGTGATTTAAATAAGCAATTATTTCCACAGCAAAAAATTAAAGCTAGTAATTTTTCAAATGATAGTTAATTAAGCTAGAGGAGATGCGAAGATCCAATTGGTCGAAATGTGTCCATCAATCACTGCATCAGTCATCCTCATCTACATTTAGTAATCTTCATTGCATTACTTTCTGTATATTAATGTACTCGTCATTCCTAAAGGCATCTAGTGTTGCCTTTAAAGACAATCACTACTTATTATGGTGAAAGCACTTTATGAACAATATTTTGATTCGTGATGCTCTAAGTTAACAATCTTCTTGTAAATGTTGTTTTCCATAAATAAAACCTCTAAATTTTCATATTTCTGAAAGTATTAGTCGTAAAATTAGTAACTCCTAAACATTGTCGTAATGTAGGAAAGCACATTTTTTAACAACCTTCTTTATCTAATGGTCAATTAAAATCAAATTTCCATAAAGATGTTCAAAAGTCCAAGGGACCAAAATTTGCCAAATTTGGAAGTCGGGAAAAAACACAACAAATGCCCATAATCAGGACGAGGCATTAGCCACTTGGATGAGCTCTCGTAATACAAACCACCCACAAAGGCTCTTCGTTTAATTGTGCATAGCACCCACTGAGTGGAGTAGGTCTGGAAATGGAGTCTAAAGATGGAAATCTCCACAGAAATTTCGTTGTCCATACACACATAATTACCTAGGACTCTCCAGTCAACTCTCCTCTCCATGTACATGACTGAGCAAGAGGGTTCACAATACATCATAACCTCACAAGCAGGACCCACACGACGATATTAAAAGACGTGAATTTCCAGCATCCATAAAATGGAGGTTTATTTCAGGTGAATTTTAAATATTTTCCAAGAATCATCAACAAGGGGATTCTTGTCAGACTCTCTTTCCATCAGCCATTCAGGCGGTGGCTGCGGCAGTGTCTTGGCACTCGGTGGAAATATGTAGTGACCACCTGAGCCACTCTCTTGTTCTTCAACATGAACCACCTCCTCTCGAGGTTGATTTTGTTGCTGTTGCTGTTGTTGTTGTTGCTGCCGCTGCTGCTTCTGTGGCTGATGTCCTTCACTCCAAGCAGGACGTGATCCAAAGGCAACCCTCGATCTTCCCCATCCACACCTTCTGTTACCGAAGCGTTGATATCTCCCAAATTCATATTTGTCCATGTTAAAGAGGCGAGAAACTTGATGAGGTATGAGAAAATCGACTATACCAAGAGGTTATTCACCCGAAAAGAGAGAAAGCTAAAAACAAATTGAGTTCAAATAACCAATTGTCATTTGAATGCTTCGATATTTTCCAATTTCATTGGATCAGTGCTGCTACTCTAAATTTAAGGTCTCAGACGATTGCTCATCATTCAAAATCCTTGCAAACCAAATCAGTGAATTCAAATCCACTTCCCTGATTCGCCTTTAATATATTCTTCTAATGAATTGATAATGGTGATAATCATCAGTTATCATTCTAGCGCATGAAATTGTTTCCTATCTATTTGATTTTAAGTCTACTTGGAGTTATATCGGCTAATATTTTGCAAGTGCATTTCATTCCATTGAGTTCCTGAAGGGTCACGCAATAATGCAAAGTGAGGAGCTTCTTTTGGACGAAAGAAATCTACCTTGAGGGATAGACAACTGTCTTAGTTGAACAAACAGTTCAAATCCTTGTAAAAAAACTGAAAATAAAAAATTTAAGTTTCTTTGCACTGGTTGTTCATAGATCACCAACGATCTCATTCAATTAGCCAAAATTTCTGGTTGAAGCTAAGTCGTTTACTACTCTTTGCTTGAAATATCGCCCTTGTTCAGAATAGCAGGAACAAAGTATATATTTTAGAGACAAGGAGTGATCAAAAGACTTACCTCCACGTGGTGCACCCTGGGCAACGTATACTCATTCGGCAAAAATGTCTATCAGTCGATAGTTGACTTCTGACTTCAAACTACCACGACCCCCTGCATGCCATATTCTACCACTTCGCAGTACTCATCCTACTTTTTCTCCGCCTTTGTGTCTTTTACAACTGTAAATCACTCTTCTGTTCCCCCCCCCCCATCTCGACCTTCTGTCACTCCGATGTTCCTTCCCCCTGTGTAGCCCGAAGTGAACTAAAGGGCTATTGATAACCATCAAAACGCCTGCTATTTGAAATAAATAAATAAATAAATTTTACAGAAATTCTCCTTGAAACTAGAAAATTTTGTGTTTTATTCAGATTTTAATTTTTAAATAACAAATAATGAATAAATGAAGGCCATATTTGAAAAATGAAACGTAGTAGTACCAGACAATGTTTTCTATTCTTTATGCATGACAAAAATTTATAAACCCTTCTATCTGTCTTCTGATTTCCACTAATATTTACAAATTTAAACTATTTTTTTTAATTTAGAAGTGCACTACAGCCAGTTGCAGCTTATTTAAATTGATCCATTAAGATTCCGGCCAAAATATGACTATTTAAGCTTGGAGCGGGTCGCAACACGAATATGCAAGGTCAGATCAACAGGGCATTGGTAGCATTGGGCGGTGTCACAGGCAATGAGCTAAGTTAATCAATATATTTTTTATTTCAAATGGCAGGCGTTTTGATAGTTAACATTAGCCCTGGAGCTGACTTCGGGCATCACAGAGAGGAGGAGGAACATCAAAGTGGAAAAAAGGTCGAGAGGGAGGGGGGGGGACAGAATAATGATTCACAGATGTAACAGAGACAGACAAAAAGGCGGAGAAAAGGTAAGATGAGTACTGTGTGAGGGGTCGAATGTGGCATACAGTGGAATGATGGTAGTTTGAAGTAAGTAGTCAACTGCCAGTTAATAGACTTGTATGCCGTATGAGTATACGTTGCCCAGGGTGCACCACGTGGAGGTAAGTCTACCGCACACCCCAAGTTAATCAATATAATTTTAGGTATTCTGATCACAAGGTGACTATTATTTATTTTGAGTGACTGAGAGGTCTCTGCGATCATGAGAGCACACCCTCTCTCACGTGACCAGCAGCAGAGGCCCACCTTAGCACTCCAGCATTAGTAGAGCACATGAGTGTCCTTAGTTCTGCCATGTGAACGCAGAATTCTCTGCAAACTTCACACTGTCCATTTTCCTGCGTCATTTGCATGATTTTATTGTCATAAATATTATTGCACCTATATTTATCGCCTCTTTACTGTGGCTGAAATGTAACTACTAAGCAGTCATTTGAGAAGTACAAAACCCTTAATAGACTTAACTTATAAATTTCATCGTTCTGAAAAGTGCAGCTGTGTAGATGATCGCGCTAGAGTTCAAGGGCGTTCACGAGTGCAGAGACCTTTCCACCAATCAGCAATCCATAGTCACTATAGGGTCAGGGTTCCTAAACCGTATTTGTTACTTATAACAGCGATAGCATAATCATAATCATTGCTATCTCACTAAACACACACCCACTTTATTGACTTTGTTTCCATATCATTATTGAGGAAACTTGGCCAATTTAGGTGTCATTGTATGTTAAGGAATCTCGTCAAGTAGATTGCTGAGCACTAGTCTACTCATCCTCGTGTAGCGTTCAGGTTCAAATTATTGCTTTAGTAAACACAGCAGAATTTCAATCTAACGAAAGCAGAAATTATAGTCATTTTCAAAAATAAACCAATCCTAGACAAGTTTTTATTTAAAAAAGTTTTGAAATGTCCCCCTCCCCCCCAAAATGTGATTTAAAAATACCACTGATTTTGGGATCATTTATTTACAACAAATGGCAGGCGTTTTGATAGTTACCATTAGCCCTTTAGTTGACTTCAGGCTTCACAGAGGGGAGGAGGAACATCAAAATGAGAAGAATTCGGGAGGGAGAATAGAAGGGTGATTCACAGATGTAAAAGAAACAGACAGACACATAAGCACGGAAAGGGTAAGATGAGTACTCCGGTAGGGGTTGAATATGACATACAGTGGGGGTGATGGTAGTTTGAAGTGAGAAGTCAACTGCCGGTTAAGAGACTTTTTTGCCGTATGATTATACGTTGCCCAGGGTGTACCACGAGGAGGTAAGTCTATCCCACACCCCATTTTGGGATCATAATGCCAAGATGCTTTAAAGTCATTATGAAGATGAATCTTGTGAATTTAGAATTGAGAAAAGCAGACACAAATTGGTCTAATTAGTTTACTGTATGAGCAACAGATCCACTTCCATAAATCTTTAATTAACTACAAGTTTCAAAGAGTTAAATCGAAATGGTGTGGGACACGTTATCGCTGTGTGCGTCATCGTA